TTTTTTGTCGAATATGATAATAATCTGGAATTATTATATAAATAGTTGTTGCATGTTTGTTTGTTTGTTTGTTTTAAAAACATTTTCAATATTCAATTTGTTATCAATCAATCAGTGAATGAGAAAATTTGTTCTTCAAAAAATAAAAACGTTGCTCATATATGAAAGGAATTTTCTTTATAGACTATGATGAATTATATTTTTATTGTTAGTGAAAATTTGTTTTAAAAAAAATTCACTAACATTGTTAAAAAAACCTATTAATGTTTGTTTAATGACTATTCACAAGTTTTCATCAATGAATAGGATAGAATTATGAAAATAGAAATTATTTCAAGTATCTAATAGTATCAAATAGTATTTTACATTAAGGAATAAGAATAGCAAATCTGCTAACTAGTGACTAGAATTCTCGGAGTTCTATTAAGAAGACGTGACCAGTGGGTGTAGGCAGTAAGTACCAAAGACAAATGGGTCAGGTCGCGCAAAATCCCTAGATCAAACAGAATTAGACAGTAACACCGTTGGATGCCGGCTCAGTGGTCCGATAGTAAGGCGTTCGTGCACAATACCGGAGGTCCCCGGCTCGAATCCTGCAAGGTGCGGAAGTCGTGGATACGCACTGCTAATGAGTCCCATACCAGGACGAAACGGCCGTCTTTCAGTGCTTCTAGGTGTCTGATGGTAGTCTAACAATGATAGATTGATGATTTCAAATGTGTAACAGCAAATATATTGTGAGTGAGTGAGCAAGTAAGCAAGTAGGACGAACTAAGTGACTGAATATTTAAATGTAATTTTATAGTGTTTTGAATAATAAACTCTCAGAAGTAAAAAAATCTTTATTTTTCCTTAAACTAACGATATGGAGTTTGTATGAAAGGGAATCAGTAAGGTTATTTTGAGTTAAATGTAATGAAGTTGCTTTTGATTGATACAATGAGAAATTATTTTTAAAATAATGTTGATGATAATCGATTTGGCAGTGTAACATTCATTGACTTGTAAATTGAACTTTAAAATCTGTTGGGGACGTTAGATCCTTAGAACTCACTTGATAAATGTCATAATTTTGGATTTTATTCATGGGCTGATCAGTTGACGTTGAGAGTGCACTTCCCACCCAGGGAAATCCTTGGCTGTGATCGGTTACTGTGTTATTTTAGTGTGCTATTTTTGTGACTGTCCCAAGGACGGTTATACGATGTATAAATAAACGCGATGTATAAATGTGCTTGAGATCACTGAGTTTGCTGGGTGTTTGTAGAATACAGTTTTAACGCTCTATCAAAACTTTTTCGTTAGTTCCTTTGGGTCGACGGATCAGAATAGCCTACTCGGACGCTGGTCCATTGTCTCGTTCTCGTTTATCGACTACGGTGAACTCGTAATAGTTTCAAGCATACCCAGTGACAAGCATAACAAAATCGTAATGAAGTTAAATGTTTGAGTTGAAATTTATCCGAACTTAATTTTTCTAGTTATGCACTACCTGGATTGACCAATTTATCATATTATACTGATAGTTGCTAACATGTAATCTATAATGACATTTTCAGTATAGAACAATTATTTATAATCTGACGGCAGTATCAAGGCAATCTGCACAGAATTTACAAATACCAAAAGGATTGATCGATTGCAGTGGTAAACATCAATGCGAAGAGTTAAACAAGCAATACAAAGGAATTTAATGATATTAGTTTAATGTTAATATTTATTACGTAGTATATGGTAGCTGTCTATAACATATTTATTATTCATTAGTGGTTAATGAGTGAGAATTTTTTTTGGCGTTAGTTCATTTGACCGTAGCCATATAAAGATACTGTGTTAATTGTAAGAGAATGAGTTTATCTCACTTGTCACTGTAAAAAACTTCATTATTATTTCAAATATGTTTTTTATGAAATCTTATAAAATACAAAACTTTGTCAATTAAACTATTGTTTCAGTTTTTGTAAAGTTACAGACAGTTTACATACTTTAACATTGTCATTGACGAATATCGTTAGTCCAGGGTCAGTTAAATGAACACTTTCTCATATTAACTGGATTTTCTTTCATTCACTTTTTCTGATTGACAAAATTATTATATCAAGCAGTAACAATGAGTATAGTGAGAAGTGTACAACTAATTTCTTTTTACAAACATAAGTATGATCTCAACTTTTTGATCAGAATGGTTTATGGGTAACGCAGTTAATGAGAAACAGCTTAGATACAGATTATTCGAAACGATTTTCAAATATCAAGATGGAGTCTACTATACACTAATATTTTTCTTACATTCTGAAGAACACACAGAAGGAATAATGCTAATAGTTTCCATTCTTAAACAGATCCATGTTTTATAATGTTGACCAACTAGTAATAATTCACAGGTGGAATATTAATGAAGTATTTTTTTTTAAATTTACTAACTAAACTATTTTACATTTAGTAATAACAATCCACTGACACACACTAGTATTACGCTAACCTAATATAGGTGGAAATACAAACAATGGTTGATCGATTAATAACAACAACCTACGTCACATTTCTAGTCAATAGGGACTAATATATTTATAAGTATGAGAATTAACTTATCCAAAGTATGTAACAAGTTACAATATACCAACAGATGGTTTTAATACAAAAATCACATATGAAACATTAAATTACAGTTTTTTATGTATACATAATCATAAAAATATTTAACGAAGTAATAAGGATACATTGAAATCATTTTATGCGTGGTGTTAAAAAGGACCTTTATTTATATCTATTGGTTTTCAGTCCAGATACATTTCTTGTTAACGAAAGTGTGTAGTAGATTGGAATACGCCTAAACATTGGTTCTTCCTAAGTAATAACTGATCCTGTATACATCGATGAAACATGGTATCTGACCCCTCGATCAATAACGTACAATTTTGTAAGCTAGAAGATACATTTGTTTGGTAAAAAATCTACTTATTCACGTTTTAATTTAACATCTGACATAAGAATAGACGAATATTTTTTCCAGATTGTACCCTTTTTTAATTTTAGTTACAGGTGAGGATTCAATAAAAATACACTTTTCATGACATCGCCAATCAGATGTACTCTACGTAACAGGTAATGTCGATTTGAATGTATTTCCATTACTGTAGCATTTATCCTCGGCTAATTGTCCATGATAAGTAGATTTCGACCATTAATAGGAGAATCACAGAAATCGAGATAATATTGAAGTTTCACGACGAATTAAGGCGATAGAGACTGATACAGTCATTAGTTTCATATTCAAGAACACAATATGAAAGGCAAGTAACTTCTTGTCGTTGCTTTCTTATTTTTCATCTAAACCAACTACATCCAAGAGAACTGTAATCAAACCGATTTGATCCATAGCAGCAAAGAAAAACTACTGCAAATCATTATCTTCATCCATCTGATACTTTCGAAATGTAATGTGACTTTGCAACACACCATACTTTATCTATATGAATATCTACATTATCATGTCGGGAGACTGGCCTGTGAAAACATCTTGTGTAGTAGATTAAAAACATCCTGCGGATTTAGCCACGTCAGTAAATCTTTCAGTGAATTTTTTATAAAAATTGTTTAACTCATATCTATCAAGTAGGAATGGTAGACCGCGTGTAGCTGGCGCTAAGTAAATTATTAGCATTCAGAGAAAGTGATTATTGAAGGAATTATTTAGTTTACGTATTACTCTTCAAAAGATAATAACCAATAGTATCTTTTTTAAAACTATTCATGCGAAACCCGCTGGGATGTAAAAAGTTATTCCATTTGCATCATGAGGTGGTAGAGAAGCTTGAGTTACTTTTTCAAATCGCGAATCGATCAATGTTAAACCACCATTAGAAACCTAGAAGCACTGGACAACTGTTTCGAAGTTAGGCATCAACACCATTAGATTCCGGCCCAGTAATCCAGAGGCTAGGCGTTCGCACGTGAGAACGTTGGTCCTGGGATCGAATCCTTTAAAGTGCAGGAGTTGCGGATGAGCGCTGCTGATAAGTCCCAGAATGAAACGGCCTGGTTTCTAACGCTGGTTTAACATTGATCGATACATGATTTCAAAACGTATTCCTATTACATTATCACGTTTATGCAATATTCATATTAGCTTACGCAATAAATACAAAGAATCTTACGGTTATGTATATGTATATAATAATATACGAACGTTAAGCATGATAATGATATTTAGACTGCGAACTATATGTCTTCTTAGAAGTAGATGTACCCTAGTTTTATAAAATATAACTTTGGTGACCGTAGTGTTCATGTATTCATCAGTCAGTTGCAACGCAGAACTTCGTACGTAACACGTTAGCACAGAGACGCAAATGTCAATTCAAATCCCACTGTGGTAGAGATAGTAGAAGAATTACTGCTAATCGAGAAGATTAGGGTTTGAAGATGTTATTCAAGAAGTATAATTCAGTGAGATAAAGTTAGAGAGAGGAAGAGATAGAGATGATGAGGAATTCAGAAGATTAGGATTTGAGAGAACACAAAGAATGGATGCACCTGCGCCATTGCAAACGATTTTGAGCCATGTTGTTCAAGGTCTCTAACCATTGGTGACTTTCGTCTCGCGGATCCCAACCAAGTAGCCTATATCTGCCAAAATGACAGTCCAAATGTCAGAGACTTCATGGATTTCTGCCATGTTTTGGTTTGGCCACCCCTAGCTTTCTCCCAACCTACTCCTACACCACAAAACATAGCTCATCAAGGCAGTCAGTGGTTAGCCATACGTAACATACGTATTCATCAGACTGATTACATACAGAAATGTAAACTATCTTAGTAGACCGATTTCATAACTTTAGCTAATTATCAATTGTACAATTACGATGATAATATTTAACTCAGAAGTCGCTAACACATTGATTTACTGATTAGTTCTATATCACCACTAGAAATACTCTCCAGCATTCCTAAATCAAATGAATACATAAAAACCTTAAACTTACGACTTCATGTTTTTTTTTTCAGACTTTAATAATTTTTAAACATCATCATCATCAACATTTTTATAACAACATACGAATACAATAAAGTATACATTTTAAAAAAAAACAATGTAGCTGAATGAATGCATTACAAATTATTTAAATCAATATAATATTAATATAACTGTCAACAAGGATGAATGATTAATAATTTTATTTTTTTTTTTAAAAAAAAAATGGTTTGAAAATAAAAAAAAATTTATACACGAAAACAAAACATTGAAAATGAAAAAAAAACGGCGAGAGAAAAAAACGACCAACAACACCAACAACGAAATGATTTTAATGACAAAAAAAAGATAAAAACTAATTAATGATAATTGATCAATGTATACAGTTTTTTTTTTCAATTTTATTTCTCATTATAAAGTATTATATTATAATATATGCATTTATTATTTTTTTTACATATATCTTTGTCATATTATATTCAAGATATATATATATATATTATCCGGTAATAATAATGATAATTGAAGAAGTCAGATTATAATTGCATTTAACTTCATTTATATTTTTTAATATTTCCATTTGATTGAATATCGATTGAATTGGTATCATCAGTCTATGTTTAAGAAATAAAATAGAAAATCAGTTGAATGAACAATATGTATGTAAATAGAAGGAAGAATAGATGACTTGAGTATATGCAAAATTTTCAAACTTTGTTAGTGATTAATAATCAGTGACTATTTAACATGAACATATTACACATTTGAAATCATTAATCAATCATCATTGTTAGACCACCATTAGAAACCTGGAAGCACTGGACGGCCGTTTCGTCCTAGTATGGGACTCCTCAGCAGTGCGCATTCACGACTCCTGCTCCCAGCAGGATTCGAACCCGGGACCTTTGGCATTGTAGGCGAACGCCTTACCATCGGACCACTGGGCCGGCATTTAACGGTGTTCATGTCTAACTCTGATTGATCTAGGGATTTTGCGCGACCTCACCCACCGGTATTTGGTAGTTACTGCCTACACCCGACAGGGTTGAACTCCATTGGTCACGTCTTCTCAACTAGAACTCCGAGAATTTACTCACGAAGCTAGTCACTAGTGAGCACTGTTACATTGAACATATTAGTCAATTAAGGAGATTGGCTTTTGCTCCAGAATAGTTCAGGTGTAGAATTACAGATTTGCTCTGTAAAACTAGTTGGAATCCTGTAGGTATTGTTATTTCCCTTACTATTGTAGATATTTCTTACTAAGTGTTTATTCTCTTTAATTCACATGCATGAAAGTAAACAAACTGGGCAAATTTTAAATAGTAGAGATATTTTTCAATATGAAGCATAAAGTAATAGCGATTTCCCTATGTGACTCAATGAACAATTACACTTCCTTCTCATTTATCATTACAATTCAATTAGCTATAAATATCTACGCGTAATCAAACTGTCTAGGAAGAAGTGAATGTTCATCCGCAAAGCTATTTCTTAAGAACTATGGTGGAGAGTTCAGTTTGTGTTAAATTATTAAGAAAAACAAACAAACAACACTTAACCTGATGGTTTAATTTATTTCACTAATGTTATTTACTGAATTAAAGTTTATTTATGTAACTTTATGTTACAATGGTAACTATACCATACTGCTCAAACTAATAATATTTTAAACCTAACACGATTGCAAACCCAGAACTTTAGCTACTAAGAGCTATTCCAATTGTGACGATGTATATGCAATCGTGAAAAGTGATACTCCTAATAAAATCAGTCATCAGTGATAACATTATAGGCTACTAATTCGTGTAAATACCCGTTTTTCTCTGAACTTATTTTCACTACCCTAGCTACTAAGTGAAGTGTAAAAGTCTAAGGGAATAAATATCACGTACACACCAAAAATGAGTCTATGGCAGTGAAGTTAACCCAGAAAGATGTATCAGGCATTTTACATTTTATAACATAATTAAGCATATGAGTAACTGAAGTGCTTTCATTGTAAAGAGAACAAACTTCATGTATTTAAAAAAAACGAGCGATCGCCTACTAACTGTAATATCACCAAGTACTCATAAATTGATTTTCTGAATTAAAAAGGTATAAGAAATTTAAGCAATATTAAGGTTGCACTTGCAACTTTGTAATTAATTGTTTACACTAAGAAATTATGTGTCAGACAGTTTAAAATATAAAAAAAAATGATGTCCACATTTCATCTTTTGTCATGAACCACATGAACAACTGGGGATAAATTATCAGAACTAACTAACCAATAGCCCCACAGATTAACAAGTTAAAAATCAGACATAGGGAATATTAAATACACACGGGGATAACAGTCTCACAAGTCAATCAATTATAAGGTAGGGTCATAGGAATGAAAACTGATTTAGCATACATATATACATATAGGTCAAATACAATGGTCCTAATGTAATTAATTCACAACTGCAGTTGACAAAAATGTTACACTTAATGGAATTAGACAGTCTGTTAGAAATGTTAAAAGATATTCCCTTTCTTCTTTCTTTTAAACTATCATGCATACAGGGCTTCACAATATAACGAAACTGGTATTCAGTTAAAACTTGTATTGTTCAATTGACCTTATCATATACATAACAAAGCAATCAGTATATTCCCATTCTATAATTCTCACTTATTATGAATATGGAAGATAGGAGATAATTATTCTGTTGTTTATTTTATTTTCTCAACTGTTAATCTGCTTTTAAGAGATTGTCTGTGAATAGAATAATTAATATTTATCTCTAAAGAATGATAAAGTAGGGAATGGGATTTTGTTAGCATAGGAGGTTAAAACGTGACCTTGAAACCATGTTTATTTATTTGCTTTATCTTAAATCTTATAAGTAGACTGTCAATGAACTAGTCGAATAAAAAATGAGTCATACAATGTAGCCTTGATGAAAAAAAAAGCAGTCAATTTTAATAGTGAACAAAATCTACACATCTGCCTTTCTTTTCGCCTAAATTAAAATTGTACATATTTATCAATAATTTTTTATTAGTATAATTCTTCATGTTTATTTTAAGCAGAAAATCACATTTAAAAAAATATTCTTCAAATAGTTAAAAATTCATCAATGACTGAACTTTTTACTGACATAACCTTAAGATTTGTTTAAAAGGTTTTTGTTGAACAGTTTGAAAAATATTATTCGAACAAGAAAAAAAAACAATAATAAATTAGATTACATTCAAGTTGTATAAGTAATACTTTTTCCAATCGATCGCTTGATTGAATTTTAATGATAAGTTCAAATATCTTTCTTTTACAGGTAGTCAATCGCTAGCAATCCAGCTCACTGGTTATATTTCTGATAATAACTCTGAGTAACGTGGGTTCAAACTTCATAATAAGTATCAGTTGGTTTGAGATTGTAGATACATTTTGTTAATAAGTCCTAACCATTAAAAGGCTTTATGTTTATGGTTTCTTATCGTTTGCCTCCAACCACTGAGCAAACATTTTCTCCCATTTTCTGTTCATTTCAATCATTAACTAGAATTAGCCAAGATACAATAGAAAGTACACACCACAAGACAACATGATGAACATAGTTTGCTATCATCTACAAGATTCCTAGTACGACCTGGAAAGAGGTTAAAAGTGATAGTTAAATGATCAAAGACTTTAAATTTCAAGCAATAGGCCCACAGATTCAAAATCCACACTTCCCATTTTGGTGTTGTGTATAAGCAGACTTCATAATAAAGGTGTAATTTGAGCCGGAATAAACGAGAAGCAATAAGCTGTTCTGCGTTCCAGAAGTTATCCTTTCAGACAGCAGTGAACAACAGTCAAGTGGCAAGTCGACCCCAGGAGTTCACACTATTAAAAAGGGGAGGAGGGTTGAGGACGTTAGATCCCCAGAACTCAATTGATAAGTGCCTTAATTTGGATTTTATGTTCCCGAGCATGGGCTGGTCAGTTGACCTTGAAATCGCATTTCCCATCAGGAAAATCATTGGCTGTGATTGATTACTTTGTTATTTTAGTGTGCTATTTTTATGACTTTCCCAAGGACGCCTCTATGATGTATAAATAAACGCGATTTGTGTGCTCGAGATGATTGTACTTGCTGGGTGTTTGTAGAATATACTTTCTACGCTATATCAAGACTTTTCGTTAGTCAACGCGGATAAGGGTAGCCTACCTGGACGCTGGTTCATTGTCTCATTCTCGTTTATCGACTAAGGTGAACCTGTAATCGTTTCAAGCATACCTAATGACGAGCATAACAATATTCTTAAAGCGTAATTGATGCTAATAACTAATAATCACCAAATATTTGAAATAATCATAAGCATTTGGAGCAGAACAATAAACAAGTGAATAGAATCATATTCAACCATACACCAACAGATGTTAACCAACCAGATCATATTAAGTAAACAAGACAGAAAAATATCTTACTATTATCTAACAAATATGTAATAAAGCCATAAACTATTTAAGATCTTTACGCTTAAACAGTGCAATGTACCAAGCAATATAGCCTAATATTGTAAACAAAACAAAACAAAACACAATCCCATTTGTATAAAACATCAAACTCACTGATTTGGATAATTTCTGTTGATTCGATTTATGATATGCATGTTGATAATGATTATAGAATAGTAATAATAGACTGATATCATAAAATACATTGAAATAATATACATATTTACTTAAAGTACAATGGCTGTAAAGTGACATGAACGAATAAAACATTCCATAAGTGAATTGAATCTGTATAAAAATAAATGCGAGAAAAAACACATCAAGTTTCTATAGAAAATAACTTGAATTCATCAAAACTGTTTCAATTATCGACTTATAATGATTAGAATTTTCATATAAAGAGCATTTTGTAACTCATCAGAATGATAGACAAAAGTATGTTTTGATGATGCTGTTTGGTCAATGGAAACTTTATGATTCAACCATCCAACTAATAGAACACAACTTAATCAGAATGATAGTTCATATCTTGATAGAGTTATTTGGTTTGGTAAATAAATTGAAAATACACTCAAAATCCAAATTTAAGTTTATTTACTAGAAGCTCAGTTACAAGTATTGTATAAGGACTGGAATTATTGTCTAAGATATTTATAAACAATTATGATTTGAAATCTATCATGTGAGTGAGGTTCAGGCATTTTATCTATGAGCTTCAAACTGAATTCCATGCAATGAATTTAAGTATAAATTCAAATCTTTAGATTTCTGACGAAATCCGGTTGCCAAGGCAATAAGAAATCATTGATATAGGTGAATTTTTTCATTAAGTATTGGCGATTCTGTAACTTGAAACGATAAAAACCATACAAATTACTAAACTATAAATATTTTTGAGTTAGAGTTTTGTGTTTTTATACATTTGAAATCAGCAATGGATCAATCATTGTTAGACCACCATTAGAAACCTGCAAGCACTGAAAGACGACCCTTTCGTCGTGGTATGGGACTCATCAGCAGTGTTCAACCACGGTTCCTGCACCTCGTATGATTCGAACCCGGGATCGTCGGCATTGTGCGCGAACGCCTAACCATCGGGCCACTGGGTCAGCACCCAACGGTGTTAATGTCTAACTCTGATTGATCTAGGGATTTTGCGCAACCTCATCCGTTTGTATTTGGTAGTTACTGTCTACATCCGACAGGGTTGAACTCCATTGGTCCCATACCAGGACGTAATGGCCATCCAGTGCTTCTAGGTTTCTAATGGTGGTCTAACAATGATTGATTGATGATTTCAAATGTGTAAAAACTATAAATAATTTGGTTACAAGTTGTCGAAGGATGAATATATCACCATTTATTATTGATACTGGTTTACTTTACTAGCGGATAACGTTTTTTTAAACAAAAAATTAGCAACAGTAAACACCAGTAACTGATGTTTGTTAAAAAACGATTGGAAAACCAGAAAGCTTTAAGCAGACATTTTATCTTAGAGTAGAGTCCATCATAAAGTGAAACCTTAAACTTTTGTTCATGGATCCACACTGTCTAAAGGGTTCCATTTTGGAGCGAAATAACTTTTCAATTCTTCTCGGTCTTTAGTGACTGCATAATTTAGGTTCTTTGATAATATACAACATGAAAATTCAATAAACTTTACTATACTGAAACTTAATACGATATCTTTAAAACAAATCCAACGAAACAAAGTGAATAATTAAGTGCCGAAATCAATCTTTAAGCAACCGAATCCCTTATGTCCAACCATGATGTATAGAATGCATTCATGTAACTTTATTTTCTTGAGACAATTCAATTGATTTAATTGCGTTTCTCAATTTCAGTATACTGAATATAATCAAAGTGATTAGAAAACTTCTCGTCTTAGAGTTTCCCCCGCTCTATCTACATGATTATAAATAATAGAGATGGATGTATATAAATATACATTCAAGTTCTATACTGATGTAGTGAAGGAGAACACAGGTGGGGCAACCGAACCGAATTGTATTTAACGAAAATTACAGAGTTACTCAGTAAAATTGGAAAACCATATCGTAAATCATTAATTTGCAAATTATCAGTTCATCATATCGAACTGGACTGTTCCTGTTGCAAAATATCAATCCATTGTCACTATTCATGCGTTTCACACAAATTCCATTGTGTTCTAACTCTTCCTTTCTTGATCTTCCCCCATCTTCTGCTGCCAGACATTATGTTGACACTCACGTCATATACTAGTTATAAGTAGCTCACACCACACTGATACTAACGGAAGGTAAAATTATTTGAATAAAACTGAAATGATTTTCTGAACACATTACATCTATTTATCAAAACGTTTAATTACAACATGATCAAAGATAAACTGATGAATTTTACAATCTAGTTTATCAAACATTCTCATCAAGCAAAACAAACCATTTCCCATATAATTAAACATTTTAAAATAAGACAGATCGATAATTTATTACTAAGAAAAAAAAGCACTCAACAAATATTAGCTTATTGACTAATAGAGACAACAAAAATCAACAAACCATTTGTAACATTGTTAAATAACGTTTCCACCATAAATATTTTCTCCAATTAGGTCCAAGAGCTGCAAGCGCATAATAACTATACATAATCACATGAATTGTGCTATTGATTGCAACAGGTTGAAATATTTCACCTCCAGCTACCCATTTTACTCCAGCCCATGTTAATGGAATCATTGTACAATGATGATAAATATGTAACCATGTAACAAGATGTGTTCTACCACGAATTATAAAAAAGAATGTATCCAAACATTCGATTACTTTTGATATATGAAATAGCCAAACAGCTCGAGCAAGCTATGAAATCAATAATGAACACAATGTGATGTTAATTGCTTACTTTCAAAGGAAAACTAATAAAAAAGTGAATCACAATGATATATTAAGTCATCGCTGACTATTAAAACTATTAAGCATCGAACATATAATCAATTGTAGTCCGAACTCCTTTAATGGAAGATAAATTTTAACTGCATAACCGATAGAATATAGGTCATTTAATTCTCATGGTAATCCGTTCGCTATTCAACATATGACTAAGAATGAATCATGTTTCGATCAGCATTTACCTTCTTCTATAGCTTTCTATTGTTTGATGAGTACTTACTTACTTACTTTACTTACGCCTATTACCTCCAATGAAGTATAGGCCGCCGACCAGTATTCTCCAACCAACTCTGTCCTGGGCTTCCCTTTCCAGTTCTGTTTGATGAGTAACTGGCAGTAATAGTACTAATCGGATATTCCGTATGTAAATGATCGTTCTGTTTCTCTATTAATGTGTAGTTATTTGGGAAATGGTTTTTTTTCTGATATCTGTTCAGTTGTAACTTGAAGCTCAACCTATTTGATTGTACAAATAGTGAATGGCTATATGTATCACATTTATAAAATATTTCTAAGTAATTTTACCGTTTTCTTTTGGTAATATCTTAAGACAAAAGTCGGTGCACCGTTATTGAGTTGTATCAACATTATTTACATTAAAAAGATTATGAGACTGTTTGTTTTAATTTCCGCGTAAAGATGCACACTCTGTCAATCTATATGAAATGGATTACCGTCAGAACCTGATAATTCATCTATTTTTACAACCTTAATTAAGCTTTCATACCAATGAAATCATTTGTCGAAATTTACCTTATTGACTTCAGGATAACAAATAAATTCGACCAGGCATCATTAACACTATCGTCTACTGAAGACATAATCACACTAGCGACAGAAATAGAAGAAGTTGTTTTCGATGTTATCTAGTATTAGCTACACTTTAGCAGAATTTAATTTCTTCAGCATTCTATGGCTACTTTAATGTTTCCGATAATAATGATAACTATTACACTCTGATACTAGAGTATAACAGTTCCCTTCTTTCCGATCCTCTGCTATTCCAAAAAGACAATTCTTGTAAGGTGAAATGATTTGGTAGAGATCAAAGAAGATTAGGGCATCTTTAAATTCATACAGTTACATACAGATCACAAATGATAACAAATATAAAGCGTCTTTATTAAACTGAACAAATATCACCCTGAATTAATACCACACAAATGAAAATCACTCTGAATCAACTGATACAGTTAAATTTCATTGGAAGTGAAATCAACAAAATTCATAAAAATAAAAATGGAATGAAGGTCACTTTGACAAAATCACATTAAAGCAACGAGTGAACTCCACAGATTAGTTTCTTTATAAAACATTATAACTGGCGATTGAGAATCCCAACAATTATGCAACTAAATGATTTTCAAGGTATCGTTAGCTTTCAAATCATCAACTAACATGATGTCAAAAAAGAATCTTTGATAAAAAAAAATAAAGCACTAAACAAATGAACACTTTTACCAATTTAAGATTCTTCTTCGTATCAAGGACCTTATAGAAAGCTGATAAATTCATTTTATAAAAGTAATAAGATAAATTTTCCCATCAAGTCATCTTGATTACAAATTTCTTTTAAGTAATAACTTAAAGTTCAGTTATTCAGAAGACAGAGAGATTTGATATAAAATGAATATTTACAACAGTTATTTATAAATCTTAATACATCAATCGTTGAAAGTATTCACAGTGTGATAGATATTGTATTTGTCTTTAAATTCTAGAAAATAATTACTATTAGAGGGCTACAGAAGGATTTCCTCAATTTTACAGCTAATAACATGAACTAATTCTGATTAAACAACCATCACGAACTTAAAAACCACTGGAAAGGCTTTTTGTTTATGAAAAAGGCTCCTCAGACAAGTGAAACACCCAACCACCCCTTTACCAGACAGAGATAAAGCCCAAAATGTTCAACCTCAAAATAATACTAAATAACGTTGATAGTTTCAAGCAATTTTTTTTTGGATTTAAATGATAGCATAGACTTCATAGATTTTTGAGTTATTTGGTCAATCATGTGAGTTAATAAGAAATAAAACTATTCAAGCAGTTTCATAATGTAACGATTTGGTTATTCTTTATATCTTGATATAGAACTAACTTTTACTTACATATGTTAAATAAATTACCTTCGAATATATATATGTAAAAGTAGGAATTTTTTTTTAACTTTAATTAAAATTAATTAATATACATATGGATAACATGATATACAAATGATACAATTCTATATATTTTATTTCGTTATCAAATGCAACTTCTATTCCATACATGACCAAGATATGATTTTCATGGAAAACTAGCTAACATGTTGAAAAGACGAAAATTATTTAGTTTGTATAATTTATAAATAAAAATTATCCGTTCAGTTTATTAGGTTAGATTTGAAGAGACTGGAGACAAAAAGGAATATTGTCAACAAATAACATAGCTAATTCATTTCATAGATTAAGTTTGAGCAGTTGAAAATTCGTATCACTAGATATGACTAACATCAAAATAAATCATTTTATTTTTAGTAATTAGTGTAAGCCAATAAATTATTTTGTATGCAAAAACATTTTTCTCTTATTCTGAAATAAATTTCATGTATAAAACAATTTGATCAAGTTAGACATTAACACTGTTAGATACCGGCTCAGTGGTCTAACGGTTAGGGCGTTCGCGCACAATACCGAAGGTCCTGGGTTCGAATCCTCCGGGATGCAGGAGTCGAGGATGCGCACTGCTGAGGAGTCCCATACCAGGACGAAACGGCCGTCCAGTGCTTCCAGGTTTCTAATGGTGGTCTAACATTGATCGATTCATGGTTTCGAAAATAAAACAATTAGTCTCTTTTATAAATTTTGAAAATTGTAATGTATTTTCGCTATAACATTTCGAACAATCCAGTCACACATATGCTTGTCAAGACATTTAATATGAAAATTAATAAAAGTCAATGAAATAGAAGTTCAAACCTTAAATTAACCCTGTAGTCATGTTATAGCCTAGGTTAATGTGAAAATTTCCTATTCTTCCCGTACTATGTTAATTTTCTTTCTCTCTCTCCTTTATTCACCTCAAGTTCATATGACCTTCTATTCAGTTGACCTTTATCGATTTCATATTAAATGTCTTCGATCCCTAATATTCGCCATTACCGCTAATACTTCTACTATCTCCACCACAATGGGATTTGAACTGACAGTTGCGTTTCTGTGTTAATGCGATATGGCAACCTGAATTGACGTACGTACGTACGAAGTTCTACGTGTGTAATTGACTGACTGATTGTCTTGACAAATATATGTGTGACCAAATTATTCGAAATGTATAGCACAAATCCATCAAATTTTTCATATTAAATACGTTTTCTAATTGTTCTATAAAAATTTTTTATTCATCAATCATATTTAATCTTACTGACTAAGACTATCTGATTCTTCAAACAAGAATAGGCTACATATTCTAGAAAAATTATAGATTTTGTGATTATAAACAATAGACTGTTTTTAATTGCTTATACACCGAACACGAATTATTTGTCTTATTTTTATTTACACTGTTTATAGCTACTGCCATTTTGAAAAGTTCATGAAGACGAATGTATTTCAGTTTGGATCAAAAATCAAAGTGCTTCAACCTCTGTTATGAATTGTTAATGATAAAGCATTTACAAAGTTTATGACTGCCTATTTAAATGTATTATGGGAATATGATTTTATGGTTTGAAGCTATTTAAGTGAAAATGATCTACAGATGAAACACAAACTTACAACGTGGTCGAATGATAGTTGATCACAAGATATAATTTCTGAATAAAATCCACGAATGAACTGATATCAAAGATAAGAAAATTAGCCAAGAGAAAAGATTTTTCTTAACAAGCTTATAGACATAATGTTGAGTATAAAAATAAACATGGTTTGAAATCATTTAACAAACAGATCCGTCGTAGGATATAGTATTTATTGGTTACTCACTCTCCAATGAGATCGATATCTAAAAAGTAGATTTAAATCTTGTTGTCACAAAAATGGTAAAGATTTAACCTATAGAATACATTTCGAATCAGTGGTCAAAGTAGAAAACTTCAAAATAAAGCTTTGTGATCTTTTAGATGTAAATTTTACCTTGCTTTATGGGAATTTTAAATTCAGCTTACAACCTAAATTAACTGAATAAGACATGATGTCACTGATGCAAGCTTAACCTCTGGCAAATAAGCAAACAAAAAATGCAACAAAGTAAAATGTAGTGCCAAATAGTAGATGTCTAGTCAACTTTTAATATGTATCGTAGTAACTTATGCTGTCAATCAGTTTATCAACAGTAAGATGGTAAAAATAACCATAAATGAAGTTAAAAGATCCTCAAACTCTTCTAAAAACAGGTGTTGTGCACCGGATAAATGTACGCATGTATGCCAACCATAACTAAGCGAATTTTAATCAAAATATTAACAACAGGAAAACCTGAGATATCCCGAATTGAACTACCTATATATGCGTAAACGGGTGCGCATTAAGTAAATTGGGTATTTGAGATACTATTGAGCTATATGCTGACTAAAATCTAGCTTTTATTCGAAGTATCTCGACAAACTTTTAATTCTACCAGAATTTCAGTTTTAATAAAGATGATGCCAAACTTTTTAATATCGTAACCAAGCAGAAACATTAATAGTTCATGACTGTTTAGTTATGCGCTCATATACCTACTAACTAACTAACTATAGAATGGTAAAACAATTCTCTTAAGCCACCAATCGTTGGATAAACATCTTAAAATCTGGGTTTTGTTGGAATCACAACCAAGAATAAGATTATGATAGCTTTCATTTTAAGATCTGATGCAACTTAAGTGACAGTATTTATTGGTTAGTCTTTAAGGAAAGACATTACCAACGATTGTATGAAACAGATATATTCATCGACGAAGTCACCAAGACCAAGACAGCTTTTAAGAAGTCTCACCCATTATATTTTTTGAGTAAGAAAACAAGAATTATTTCTATATATTAATCAGTGTTCATGTTTCACTGAAGAATTATTGCTAGTAATCATTGCGCAATCAACAATAGAAATATTGGTTAAAAAATAATTATTATTCATATTTCTCTTCTTCAAAACCAGAGAGAGTAAACTCGTTTGAATGACTACAGCTTTACAGTGAACCAGACAAAGTATACTATGCTTTTCAGATCAAATTTCCAATGCTATGCAAAGGTGTTAAGGCTTACTGTTAACAGTACTGAAATAGCAATCAAAGTAATAGCAATTAAAAAAGAAAGAGTAAACTGTCTAACATTACTACGAAGATATCTTGTTCAGGTAAACACTGAGTAAATAATAAGTTTCTTTGCATATTTGTGTTAAGATTGCTGTTTTACGCCATAGATCAGCAAACAAGAATAAACAATGAAATGAGGCTATGATGAACTTTGCATATATTTGCAACATAACTTATGTATTACTATTGTCTAGAGTAAATGTGCTTTACAAAACAGCTGACTAGACCAATACGTGGAACAGGATTCGGTGTTTAGTCAAGTGGTTGGACAGTCATATACTTTGATGCTTGATAATGACTGATCTCTAAATTCAACAAAAATGACCTTACTTTAATTGGATGAAAATAGTGAGTAAACCTTTTGGTAAGCCGATAGGAACTGTATTGGCAAATTTTGAACAACCGGTTAGATTGAAAAAATATCTTTTTACACTTTCTATAACACCTGGCACTTCAAACTTGTTATGTAAACAATTTCTATCAAGTTCCAGGCTGAACGTCTTAATCATAGAGCTTCAATTAAAAGGTATATTTCTACAATCTAACTTGTTCTCTTCCGACCAATAAGGCTCGTTGTCAGCTGGATGCTTTATGAGTGTATTTTCTTTCAATACTTCACACATAGTACACCACAAATATTTACCAGCTAACCTGAATGACGACGTTTACGGAGTTGGAGTTTCTCAAATATTACAACCACGATGAGGATAAGAGATTGAAATACATTCAGTTCTTGAAATAACTGTTTATATGGATTAGTTTGACACTTCATATGGATGAAAAGGATGAAAAGTTCACTTCTTAGATGATAATGCATTGCATTATATAGTACTAAGAAGAAAAGATGTTAATAGACCAGTTAAATGCTTTCCATATCTATTAGGACTTTATCACACGATATTAAACACACACATTTGCGCTGTCACATATTTTATACTCAGGAAATTTTATAAACCAGTAAGGAGAATAAAAAACCATCATTCAAAATATCTGATACTTGGTTATCAGGTGTCTAATAAAAATGGGAATGATATTCACCAAAAATCAAGGTAGTCTGATCTAAGTATATTAATGAGATAGACATACTATTCAATCAGTGAAAAGTCAAGGTACTTGCCTTTACAATAATTGTTTATGAGTTTAACTCGATATATCCTTGTGTGGAACACACGTTTAAGCAAGCAATTGATAAATTGGAATGATTTTCCTGGAAACTAACTAAGACAATCACCGTTTCTTACAAAAAAACACTTGTTTTAGATGTTTGAAAGTCCTTACACATGAGTTTGCAGTTAACTCTAATACATTCTGAGTATTTACTAATCTTATACCATTTACAGATTAGCATTTTATAGCCAGAAAGAAGAAACTTATGGTTGTTGCAGAATTTTTGAGCTATAAAGTCCATATCGGAGGTGAAGGAAGTACAAACTAGATGCGGAGTTAAAAAGTTTAGAAGGATGAGTACTACCTTCTAAAGAAACTATGATGACTTACTTAACTAGAAGGCAAGTCTTTCGCAGAAAAGTATTATGAACATGTTCAAATAAAAAATTTAAGAATAATAAAAATCAAAAGTACAATAGACTCACTCTTAGAGCATTGGGATTTGAACTGTAATCGACTTTTTGACAGAAAATCGAATAATTTTCCTTATATGCGACACATATTGATTCATATACAATATAAGCGTTCATAACCACCATGATCCAATCATAGGTAGAAACTAATCGATTCATGCCAAGTACATGCCTCCCTTTCATGAACTTCAGTCCATAAAATATCATGAACAAGTAAGCAGTGATCACAAACAGTAAATGATTCACTGAACCCATTAGGAACCACGAAGAAACTCTGGGGTCTATACGAAATACAAACACATTTTAACCGAATAATACCTGCTCTTTCCATGCTTCTTCTAAAAATACCATTCATCCAGTCCACATAATTACTTAACACGCTCATTTCCACCCAGCTAGTAGAAACAAATGATAGAAAAGAATCTGTGTGATAACTTTTAACGTCTAAGATGACAAATTAAAACAAAACTATGCAGATGGTATGAGAATAGACCACAAAATCTACTTAGTATTTTAGATTTTTAACGGATTTATAAATTAAACACTCAATTGTGTTACTAAAGTTGAAGTGTTCGTTCATTATCTTCTAGGCGATCTAATATACTCCGTCTGAATTATTTGATCTCTTTTCTTCATTCTACCTTACAGTTTCATTCTAAGTAATGAGGATAGTAGACCTGCCATTCTATTTTATTCTTTGGAAACTGTTTTTGGTTTGGAATCCAGCTTCTTAAAAGTGTTCACCAGTGGGGTTGATACCACTTGTTCGGGTAAGGCTTTCCAGTCATCAGCCACTCGATGTGGAAAACGGAATCCAACTCTGAGTTTATTCGATCACGGCTTTGAACCTTCTTAAAGTGGCCTCGGTGATGGTCGGTTCATAAGGGATATTAGCACCGAAATCGTTATTCAAGATACAGAATGCGAAAATAAGAAAATCCCGCGTCATAAAATGAGATTAGCGAGAAAGACTTGAAGGGTTTTAATCGTCAGTCTTAAAGGAAAATGCCCGTAGCTTAGTTCCCACACATCAGACATGCTGAAGTGAGATAGTATCATCAGTCAGGCACGAGTTGCCTGACTGAAATACTCTAGTTGACGGCTTACAAAGATGGAATATAAAGCCCTAAACATATCCTCGCCAAGGCATTTTAATAACCAGAGAAGTAAGGAGCAACCATTACTCCCAAGTCCTTTTGTTTCTGCACTCATGGTAGTCAATTACTGTGGAAATATCCTGGTAACTATTGTTGTATACGATCTGCACTAACAAATTATTTCCACAACTATAAGAGCATTTAACTAATCCGTTCAGGTTAGCCTGGACATCAAAGTGATCAGCCCCGCTACTAATTTTTTCCAAATTTTGACATCATCTACAAACAATCGTGCGACGAGTTAAGCAGCCTATGTAATTCACTAAGGTAAACCATGGGAGACCTAAGATAGAGCCAGGTGGTACACCAATTTTGACCGGTTTTTATTCGGACAATATCTTACATACCCTCGCACTTTGTCTTCGGTCGCATAGGTATTACTTGGCCATCCATATACTCCACCCTTTATTCCGAAGCTCAAACGCTTCTGCAAAAGTCCTAGCTGAGTAGCTTTATCAAATGCTATGGTAAAATCATGAATATTAACGCGATAGACAACCAGTCCAATTTACGAATGGACGAATAAGACTATCTTATACCAACGAAATTCTGTAAGTAGTGCAGTGTCCTGGCTATAGTATTTTCGCGTATATTCCGGATTTCCCGGTACCCATACTTAGAAGACTCCGCCGCCGAGAACTAGTCGATTCTCGGAGCGCGGTGTAAGACAAAGTCTAAATTTAGATCACGGGATGTATGGGATTATCAGAGATTCGAACGTGGCTTTTAACATGTCCCACGCATCTTCCACCGACCCACCTACAATAACCGAGCGGTCTGTTGAGATACAACAGTCTTCGCCCGCCAGGAGGTTAGCCTGTCAGATATTGGGGTAATGTGGAGCAATAAATAAGTATATTATTCGTCTGCAACCTGATATTCGGTACTTAGCGGTCGCTATTTGCTAGCATATGGACGTACTGGGTGTCAATGATATCCTCACTATGGTGTGTAAAATCAGAGTCCATCAGTGATGGCCCATAATCCAAGTCATATTTCGGTTTCCCGATGCATTGTAAAAGTGCGCAGTGAACGGAAACTGACATATACTGACGTCAAAACATCCACTTGAAGTTGTAAGCTCCGACCATTCGAGGTGCTGAGGGTTGACATCTTCAACAACAGGACATCAATCGGCGTTACATTTAATACAGACATGATTTGGGATGCAGTCATCAGAAATACATCATGCTTTATGATGTAAGATCCATTTTGGAAGGCTTTGTGAAGATCCCTCTTTGTATCCCTCTTTGCAATATGTCCTTATTAAACCTTTCAGTACTACATTTTGTCGATCTGTTCAGTTACATTTTGAGATGTTTATATTTGTATTTTATCACAGTTTCTATTCCTTTTGTGCATCTACTGAGTTTCTATGTTTCTTTCTGAACTGCATTATGTTGTTTAAGCTGATACTTGGTTATGGTAACAGACATATTGAAATGTTCCTCTGTTGTCTGGAGCGGCTGCACTGAAGGATAGTGTTCATTTCGATTGTGAATCGGAGCACTCCTCCTGAATTGGAAACACTGTGTTATAAGAGGGATAGAATATCATTAATTTGGATAATTGGAAGAATAACGTAGTAATATTGCTTAGGTAATGATCTGTGATTAGTAATAGAACCGTTATTTACCCGGGAATCGTGTTTTGGATTTCAACTGGGAAAGACGAGTTTCTAAACTTCCTAGAGAGTTATTCGTCAATCAAAACCTCAGTTTGGATCCTACAGTTCTAAACAATAACAATAGATTGGAGTTTTCTGGCTAACGTTTCTCGGATTTCACTTACTGCGATGAAGAATACTCGTCAAAAGAAGCCAAGGAGATAAACTGAACAACGAATCCCCTGTTATAAAGAAGGTGCCTTTTGACGATTTTACGACTCATGATTCCTACTAATTTAGGGAAAATTATCAAGATAGTGATTCTAGTCATAGGTCGTTGTTAGAGGGTATGAAAAATCTTAGTTTAAATGAGAAGCTTGAAGTACCTGGAAAGAATGTAACGCCTAAAGCGCCGGTCGTAGGTTGTGGCGCGCGCTTCGAGTTTGACGTGTACTCGCTAACTCTCTTCCATTTACGGGAAAAAATCCACTTTCGAGGTACTTTATCACCTCCGAAGCTATAAAAAGTTGTCTCCATTCAATGGTTGAAAGTCTGAAAACATTTTCTGGGAAAAGGAACCATTCAAAGTCAGAACCATTGTGCGGTAGGTCTAGCTGCCTCATTCAACTGCTCTTTTTCTAGTTGCTTCGGCAGCATACATATATCCAATCACTGACAAACACAGGACTTGTGAACAAGTTACTGGATACACGCAAAGTTACTTACAAATGCGGTCAAAGGCTCTATTCCTTGCAGTTTTATTATATACTAATAAATATCTTCTTTCCTAAACTCTTTTACGTGTATCTTGTATTTCAAATATCTCGGTCTTCACCTCCTAATCTCCTTGATATCATCGTAAGTAATAAGGTCGCTAGTACACACTACACTATAACAACCAGGAAAAATTGTAGAGGCATAAACCCCGGGGTTGATAGTGCGTCGAAAATCCCAATATCGTGCGAGCGAGTTGTTAAAAAACCCGAACAGTCAGCCGATTGTACGCCTCTCAGTGTCCATACTTTAGATCACTCAACGCAAACACCACAGAGGAAGCGAGACACCAGTCCTATTCCTAAAAAGACCAGTAAGCTAGTTAAAAATAGGAGAAAAAGACGCTCCAAGGCCCAGTTGACATAGTCCACCGCCCAGAAACAGCATAAAGATGGCTGTTTTGCCTGCTTATTACCAGTCAAAATCAGCGACCTTACTTTCGAATGCAACTCCTGTAGTATATGGGTACATTATCACTGCGACACTACAGTACCTAAAGAGTACTATGGATTCATTCTGAGTCACTCCTGCCCATGGTTCTGGTACATTTGCCCTCGGTGAAGAGTTTCTGAGACACTGACAAAGCCACAGGTCCCACCCAAAATCAGCCCACCTAACTTGCAGCTGCCAGAACTGCGCCAGGCACCCAAGAACAGACCACCATGGTAGTTCACGGTATACCCGAACTCACGAGCGGTAACCCGGACGAAGCTCACGAGCACGATGTGCAACAGTGGCGATGGCCATCACGTAGCCTATCCCTCCACAACACGATGGCTGTTTGCATTTCTAGGTTGCCCCGCCCATCACACCTTGCGTCCATCAAGTCACCACGCTTGATGGCTGTGACATTTGGGAACCGGGAAGACCTGACTGAAACACTACAAGGTTGCTACAGTTCGAGGAACGATCTGTCTAGCCACATCAGGTGTTGCGAAAGACGACCTAGTTCTGTGAGACAACAGCAGGGAGGCCAAAATGAACGCACAAAACTGATGGTTAACATCGTTCAACTACCCCTGGAGCAAGACATGAGTGAACCAACCGCGCAGGCAAAAAATCTGAGGAGGCCAGTTCCCACAGAACTGGCCGATTCGGTTTAAATAACTTGTTTGAAAATCCGACAACGGCTGCTGCAGAAGTGTACCAGGTGCCGAGACAAACCATCAAGTGCCTCTATAGCAACGTAAGAGGATCAAATGGTAAGCTGTTAGAAATCAGGAATATGTGCTCTCAAATGGATCTGAAGATCATAGTCATAACTGAAACATGGCTATCGCCTGAAATTGCAGACGCAGAAGTGGGCTTGCCAGGCATGACACTCTTCCGAAGCGATAGGAAACACCAAGCTGGAGGTGGAGCGGCCATATAAATATATAAAGAGCCACATAAAAGCAGAACGACTATAAGACACCCAACTAAATGAGGTGACAGAATCATGTTGGTGTTTTTTCCACACGAATGGCACGAAATACTTTACTGGAGGGATCAACCGACCTACTTCGTTTACTTAGGCCCAGAAAAGCAAACTGAGTGAGGTTATACTGCAACTGCCATTCCTCGGGTTTGATCAAATACTCTTAGCTGGAGATTTCAATGCCCCATCTTTAAATTTCATCAATCAGAGTATAACTCCCACTGGTTGGTTCCAAAGACAACTTGGTACAGCCATTAGAAGCTCTTGGCTGAATGAGCGCGTACGCAGTGCCGCTAGATGGACTAAGGAAGGGAAGTCCTCAAACCTGGATTATCCGTTAACAAATGATCAGCTCCTGGTTGAGGACGTTCACGTCCGCGCACCGATAGGTAGCAGCGACCATGGCACAGTCTTGTTTAACATGGTCATAAACGAAACACTCACACAGGAAGATAACGAGCCCTACCTTTGCTACAATAGGGCAAACTACATACGCACGAGGGAGATCCTACTACATGCCTCATGGCCACGGGAGTGGTGGAGGCTGACAGTAGATGA